ATCTAAACATTCACAACTCATGCACCCCCTCACACCAAGAGAAAAAGACCGCACCCAAAATCGCAGCAAAAATTGCAAGTGTCAACAGGCCTTAAGATGTCTAAAATTACAAACTACAATTGTGCGTAACAGCATCCATGTTTATCAAGTGTTTAAACACTTCATTCTTGAACCGCACAAGTGTTTTTAATTCTCGTATTTCTGTCGGTAGAGAATTCCAATCTTTGGCAGCCGAGAATCTGAATGAGGTCTCGCCGCATCTAGTTTTTACTGGCGGTAAATCTAGCAATGTTGGATCTCTAAGAGATCGACAGTGCATTTGTGATCGTCTTACTAGATAGCCTATCAACTGCTTCGGGCAGTTTATGTTGTTTACGATCTTATAAACGTATTGCAATCTTATAAGACGACGTCTTCCGTACAGTGACAAAAGGTGTAATTTAGCACGCATCTCCTGAGTACATGTCTTACGGTTCGCGTGTAACACTATCCGCATCGCTTGATTTTGTAGTCGTTCTAAGCTTTGGACGTTTCTCTTTCCGCATTCAGCCCATACGACGCATCCGTAATCTAACAGGGGAAGCACAGTTTGCTTGTAGATCTTTAGCAAAACATTGCGGCTAAGAAAATGTGAAATTCTGTTAAGCAGTTTAAGTTTTGGATAAACTCTTGATTTTATATACGTGATATGTTTATTCCATGTCAGGCTATGATACCCCTTTTAAGTTTGAACACCCTTGAAACAACAAACCTTCCATTAATATTCCAAATGCCTTCCAGAACATTAAAACAGCATCCCCACCATGCTTTTGTAGACCTTCAAGGCACACATTCTGTAAATGCCGATAGAATTTGGCCTGGCAATAATAGTTGATGCTTCCCTGCAAAAGCAAAAGCATATTTTCAAGTTAACAAGAGCATCTACTAAACAAATATACACAATTATTGATACTCACCAATATTAATGTATCCGTAGATGCCATATTTATTCGTTAGTTTTAAATATATATACAATTTTAAAATATTTTTTGAATTATTGTCATTTTCGGTTTGCACAGCAACCAAATGTCGCGTTGTAAACATTCTTTGGGAGACTGGTAACTAAGTTACAAAATGGCGGCTGAATCGTCGCTGGAGCAAGAAGCGTTGAAAAGACGTGAAAAACTGAAAGCATTGCGAGAAAAAAGTGCTTTAGCGTCGCAGGTAATATTAACAAATATAATACAGTACTCTCTTTAATAATCAACTCTCCATTTTCCCTCATTTTTATATAAATATTAACTATCATGTTATTAAACGTTGCTAATCCTTTAAGTGGCAATGCGCTCTGAGGCGCCTTACTTTATTATTTTACTCTAACGCCAGACGATTTTACTTGTCAAGGGAAAAGTCCTGCCACTCAATGGGTTAAATAGTTTATTAATATAGTACACTGTTGACATATGACATATTTTACTTTTAGGGGCCACGTCCATACCAGACTGGAAAGTTTGGAAATTGCGCGCTGGAGATTTCGAAAATTTAATAGTAAATATATAGAAAGCATCAAAATTGCGCGCCGGAGATATCCGCCGCGCGATACAAACTTTCCACACTGGCGTCCATATTCATGTTGCCACACATAACGTCGAATCGACGTTATGGGTGGGTGGGTTTTTACGTCAACTCCTCGACGTTATCTTGTGGCAATTTGACTATTTACATCCGAACAGACCGAAGTTGAAATATTTAGTGTTTGCCGTGCAACTTTTGCCAGTATTATATTATTTTCAATCAAAACAAAGGTCGAAGTATTGAAGCGACATTTTTTCGTGTCGAATATCCGTCAATTTGTGTTCGTGAATCGCGACATTTTGTTCAGTATGAAAATAATAATAAAACATGCCCTATAGGCTATAAAACTTTTCATATTTTATAATAAAGATCCTACATCCCATATTTTATAAGAGGCACTTTGCCATTTTGATTTTGAGCTCTTTTAGCAGTCAAAATACGACAGGCTATTAACGATCGACGTTATCTGAGGTGGGTGGGTGGTTACTGGTGATAACGTTGATTCGACGTTATGTGTGGCAACATGAATATGGATGTGGCCCCTTAGAGGCCCTGTTAGGGCCAGACCTGACTGGAAAGTTTGGAAATTGCGAGCTGGAGATTTCGAAAATTTAATAGCAAATATATAGAAAGCATCAAAATTGCGTGGCCGATATCCCTGCCGCACGATACAAACTTTCCACACTAGGGGCCAGACTGCATTGTTTGCAAACGCACGCAGGATTTTTGAAACTATCAATCAAAATGCACACTTTGACACTTGCAGTTTGCTTTCATAGTATTTATGTGGAAATTTGTGCGCCAACTCGAACCGACTTGACCTCATAGCTCAGTTGGTTAATGGTAGAGCATTGGACTAGTATTCCAAAGTTCACGGGTTCGATTCCCACTGTGGTCAGGTAAAACTTTTCAGCTTGCCTGGTGTGGATGCACACTCAGAGTAACATCACAAACAGAAAAGTAAAGTATTCCCATTACCACACTTTATTTGAATTTAGCTAATCAAAATGCACCAGAAGTAAAAATAATTGCATACATTTCCTGGGGAAAAGCCATATGGGAAAACTAGCAATTTTGTTCGACCAAAGCAGTGGCATGCTGGCCCGTGCAGGCCCAAGGCCAGAGGAGGCCCAAGGCCAGCTGGGAATTTGGCGCCTCCTTTCTTCCTCGTAATTTGTATACGGGCGAGCGTCATAGACGCGAGATGTGCATGGGGCATGCCTTTGGAAAATTTTGAAATCAATAGTCCCTGAAAAGCCATTTCTTGTGTTTTGAGAGGATTCTGATGAAGTATTTAGATCAGTAAACTGCAAATGCATTGAAGAGTAAAGGTATTGGATATTTGGATAATACCAAATGGGAAGTTGGTGAACGACTAAATTACGAGACAGTGTGTGCGAGAGATATTATTGATCAAATTATGTTTACATAGTTTTCTAGTTTTATGAATAAGGACTAAGTTTGATTTGTAAAAAATGTTAATTTACAAATTAAAGTGCTTTTAATAGTTCCATTGACATCTTTGCAAACATGTCAATAATGCGCTCTTTGTCCAGAGACTATTATATAGAATTCCCCGCTCAACAGCCATCAAAAGTAACGCCTTCCAATTGTCCTTGCAACATAGTTGACCAAATTCGAGTTTTCACTCTCTTAAGTTCTGAAAATGAGCGCTCAGCAGTGGCAGAACTGATGGGGATTGCAACCGCAATCGCGTACACTTTACAAAGTGTGGGATATGTGTCGACCAGGTGGATCAGGATGCGACAGGACTCTCAGGGCCTCAAGAAAAGATTGTACATCTTTGCTCCATTCTGCATCATAGGAGGTTTCTTCGTCTGATTCTTCATCATGATCTGAATCATCATGATCTGAATCATCATAATATTCTTCTTCAGAATCGGAGCCATCGATATCCGGTGAAAACCTTGAACCTTTCTTTCTTTGGGAAAAACGAAAAGAAGCGGTTGAACTTTGAGAATGAAGGTGGACAGCTCTATGGCGCAGCGGGATGAGTCGATGCATATGTCGTGCAGAAACTGGTTATGCTGGCTTCCAAGTCGCGGGCATTTTAGAAGTTCTCTGCAAATGGCAGTAAAGTATAAACGACGAGTCGACAACAATGTATCAAACAATCTGAATATTCAAACTCTTTTTCTCTCATTGGCCAATCGGATCTGAAAAATTCCGATTTGGACTGGCGCTTTTGTGTGTGCTTTCAGTGATTTTGTGTAATTTGGGGGGGGGGGCATGCCCCCCCGGTCTCCCTGCCTGCTAGCACGCCACTGGACCAAAGTATCGAACTTTGAAATTTCAATTTACATTTTTCCTAATAAATATAAACGCTGTGATTAAAATTATGCTTGTGGAATGTGGATAGACAAATGCTATAGACATCAATGCTGTAACATTGTCAACAAATACTTTAATATTCAGTTTCCCAAAAGTGTTGAAATTTATCGCAAAGAACTGAAAGAAGAATGGTATTAAAGATAGTACATCTTCCTCCTATTTAGTTACAATATCTGAAAATCTTTCAAAGCCTCAGAAATCTTGTGCGCGCACACACTCCTTGAAAGAAAGGTGCGCCCTTTTTCATTTTTGGAGCTAAAATACGCACATTATTTGGTCTAAAAGCGCGAAATATGAAAAAATATGCGCGGAATATGTTCCGTGCGCATGACCAAGAATGCAGCAGTCTGGTGACAGCTAGGGTTAATTCTGTCAGGCAACATTGTTTGGACATATAGAAAATGGAAAAAGCAACATTGGTCACAAACTCTGTCTAAATTGTGACAGCGACATGGATAAGGAGGAAAACTTCCGAAAATGGCATAGCAATGTTTTCAAGCAGCAACATCACTTTTTTGAAAAGCAGATGTGCGACATGGACATGTATCATGCCTTTCATTTGGTATTATTATATACCAATAGTCAAATTTTTCTAGTGTTTTATTGGTCGAGAGCATATCGCGTGAGAGTGACGAAATTAGGCTGTCTCCCTCGCAACAGCGCGAGAGGGAAATAATACGTTATCGACCGGGGAATAACGAAAAAAAATCACGTGTGCCATCACGTGAAGATGCGCCCTTTGGACATGCCAAAAAAGCGTAAATGCCTAAAACAATTTAAACTTTCGCTTTAAGTAACTGAGTGTTTAATTTAATGTTTTAACAATAACATATTTCATGTATTTCCGTCATTTGTTCTTTAATTTGTTGTTTCTTTGACTATTGGTATATAATAAAATACTTAATATTTGCTGGGACCTCGGGAAAGCAGTATGTTTTGCGGACCCGAGACCGTCCATGACTTACAGCTCTTTTGACCAATCAAAATCAAAGCATATCATTTTTAAAACATAATAAATTACTTTTAGTCCTAGTAAGATCAAACGTTACGTTTTCCAAAATGATATTGTAATTCATTAGACAATTGTAGTCAATGAAGTTTATAACACTATACTAAATTGACATGTACACTGTAAGTACCTATTTTTAAACATTTGAAAACAACTAAATGTACATTAACAAAGTCCAGACTCCTTGGATATATCCCAGGTTTTGAAGTTAGTCATGGTAAACTTGGATTCATGTTTCTGCATATAGACCAGGGTGCATTCCATGTAAATTACTCTACGCCGAAGATACGCCAATATTAACTATCATATATAATAGAGTCACAAAACTTGACATGTAGCACCTTGAATATTTCATCATACTTCTCCATACTTACATGGGCCAATATCCACCATTTTGGGGGTACTGTCTTCCCATGTCACACTGTCAAAGAATCTAGACAGTCTAAAACAATGTAAAAAGCAACTTTCCAAAGTTGTAACAGACTGTAAAATACAGTATATAAACTGTATATATACACCTACATACAGTGATACAGGTCATGGTGCTTACACTGTCAGACTTGGGAGAGGCACTAGCTACCCCAAAAATGGTGGATAAACTACAGTGAGTGTGAGAAAAGCTAATTACAGTCTTTGTTCAGTCCTTGGACTGCGGATGTTTTTATATGTATTTACCCATTAGGCCCATTATAAGGCTATACAGTGTAATTATATGTATGTACAGTAGGCACACATTAATACATGTGTTAATGGAACCAAAACATGGTATTGTAATTAGCAATATATTGGATCCAATGTGGAAATGAAATCATATGAGGACAAAACTGTTTGAAATACTGGCAAACAATGTGACAGTATTGTTTTCTTTTTCTTGCAGGATGGTCGAGGAGAGAAACGAGATGGTGACAATAGTGCTGACAGTGGGTAATGCTTCATGATTAATATAGTTTACTTTCATGCAAATATATATTAGTACACAAGATAGTTAGTCTGTAGTTGAGATTGTGTCAGCAAACTCTGGAAGATAGTTGTACTAATGTGTTGTGTTGTTTTTCAGACCGGCTACGAAAATTATAAAATTTAGGAACTATCAACCAAAAGATGAAGCATTGAAAGAGCAGAAACTTCCCTCCACTAAACCTCTCTCAGGTATAAAATTAATAATCTGTTATGATTCGTTCACTTTTGTATTGTAGTATTGTACAGTATACAAATACCACCCACCTCTTTTAATTATTGCCTGTCCATCATTGTACATATTTTGGGTACCAATTTAAAAACCCACCCCTTACTGTTCAGGATGGAAATTGTTTACGGGAAAAGATATTTAAAAGCACGCATGAAAATTAAAGTTACTGTTAGCAAAAATTTAATAGATTTTTATATTTACTTAATTTGCTAAATGGTTTTGGTAATAGTAAGACTCATTATGTCTTGCATAAAACCTTCAGGTGCATATGAAAGGTCATTACTGACAAAGTTATCTTGCTTTTAGTTGAAGAAGAAGTAAAAGATCATGTGGAAAAAGCAAAGTCTGATAGTGTTGTCAATGAAGTGGTAAGAGATCATTTGAAGAGGGTTTTGTAACATATATAACAAAAAAGACAGTTGCTTGTGTTGCAATATTAGATAAATCTATTGGAGAATATAATGCCTATTTTCAATTACTCATGCAAGTGATATTCTCAGAATTGTCTTTTCGTCATACAGTATATTAATTTTGATCCTCATTTTCAGGATTTAACCAACCTTGCCCCCAGAAAACCTGACTGGTAAGTGACTGAGTTGTGAATAAATCTGAGTCAAGTTTGTAAAACTTTTTCTTATGCTTATTCATTGATTACAGTATGACTACCAGCTTCTGCTAGGTAATGCGCTAGTGCCAGGGGCCGGTTGAACGAAGGCCGGACAGCACTATCCACCGGATAGCAATTTTTTCGAGCCTTCAGCAACCCTCGAAATTCGCCTCGGCACTCGGCAATTGCCGACGCAAATGCCGAGGCAAGTTACGATTTTTCATAGTTTGCCTCGGCAAAAAAATGCCGAGGCAATTCCACCCGTTGTACCTTAAATTACAAACTACAGCGTCTGTTCCTTTTTTTGCTTAAATTTACAAACTACAGTGTTCGTTTTTAGTGTGAAGTTTCACTTCACACTATTGTGATGGCTGGCGAATTCACACGAATCAGTCAGTCAAACAGTCAGTCAGTCAGTCATAGAGTAAACTTTCCGGGGGGTGTATACGATTTATGTTCGTAGTGATTTATTGTACTTAGTCAGTACTTTGAAGGTTATTTAGGCAATTTCAGTTAACTTATTTACATATTCTGTTATCCTTTTGCCAAGTTCACAAAAATTTCGAGGAATCGCTTTCGTTATTGTAATTTTTTGTAAATTTTAGAACATTCGCTTCTCATGTTGTGTAAAGGATCTTTACCCCGGAACACCCGATTTTTTCTTTAGTAGCGCAAATGCGCATGCGCTATCAAGCCGTAGATCACGATGGCGTGACGATATGCTAGGAAGGGGTGACAATGTTGTTTTCAGATGTATAAAGATTTTAGTCGTGAATATTGAGTAAATCTTTGAAAATCTACGCAATATATAAATTGATCTTATGCATTACGGGCGTTCAATTAAGTGCCGATAATATTTAGACGGTATATTCATTATACAGAGCTAGGAAGGAGCTAGACCGCCTAGACAGTGCAGTCAAGTGTGTAAACATTTCAGACGTAAATATTAAGTCGAATATCTTGATTCTAGGCATTAATTTTAGTGCCGATATTATTTTCACGGTATTCTCATTATACAGAGGTACAGTACGTAGGCAGAAGCGAGACAGTATTGTTTTCAAGTATATAAACATTTCAGACGTGAATATTGAGTAAATCTTTGAAAATCTACACAATATATAAATTGATCTTATGCATTACGGGCGTTCAATTTAATAAGTGCCTATAATATTTAGACGGTATATTCATTATACAGAGCTAGGAAGGAGCTAGACCGCCTAGACAGTGCAGTTAAGTGTATAAACATTTCAGACGTAAATATTGAGTCGAAAATCTTGATTCTAGGCATTCAATTGAGTGCCGATATTATTTTCACGGCATACTCATTATACAGAGGTACAGTACGTGTAGGCAGAAGCGAGACAATGTTGTTTTCAAGACCTTTCAAGTATATAAACATTTCAGACATGAATATAAGAATATTGAGAAAATCTTTGAGATTCTACGCAATAATAGTAATACAATATATAAATTGATGTTATTCATTACCGTCGATATTATTTAGACCGTGTATTCATTATACATTGTCATTGACTGTATAAGGTGCTACATCACAGAATAGATGGCTGCACTCAGTACAAAGAGCGAAAAATTGCATCAGATCTGTATCAGATCAATAAAGCATAAACAATTATTAAACATAAGCGGGTAAACGTTTGACGTTGCGAGACTAAAGAAATCAGTTGAGTCAGAGCTCCTTAATTAGTAAATAAGAAAGACGAGGAGATAGCCAATGTGTTATCGCCAATGGCTTGGCTCGCCAACAAGCTTGATGCAATAGAAGAAAAAAGCAAGGAGGTACATGTAGCCAACGTGTACCGTCACGGACCTTGTCATTAGCGAGCTTAAGCATGTAGGACGGCAACGCGGCGACGACAGCCAAAACAAATTCTTTCAATTAAATGATAGTAAAGAAAACTTGTTGTATATTATAATTCGTATGAATTTAATACAGTTTAAGAAGTTGAAAACATTGCCGGCTTTATGTTTGGGAAGAGTTCTACTGAACCGAATTTCAAGTTGCACTTGTGACGGCTTGAAATGCAGGCGTTGTATAAAAGACGTGAAAATCTGTGATTTACCGTTGTAAACAGAGCGACGACTAGGCTATATAAAAGTTTGAAACTCCCCTGGGACTTTAATTATTTACATCGTTTCATTGACTCATTGTATTGGTTGCGGTCGCCGTCGTGTTGCCGTCCTACATGCTTAAGTTCCCTTTTGTTTATGCAGGTATCAGCGGCTTTCCCGGGGGGTCGACCCCCGGGCAACTCACGGGCAACCCCCGGGCATGGCACGGAATTTGTTTTAAAATCACGCCCCGGAGACCCGGGATTTAGCCTACATTTGTATTTTGAAAATTAACCCCGGGGGCAAACGCCCGGGATTTACATATGGACTGCTGCTATATCGGTCAGCGGTGATTCATCAAAAAATTCTTAATTATGATTTTTGAAGACGCTTCAAACCTTCGAAGTTCGAAGCAAATTCGAAGCATTTCGAAGCACATGAACAATATACCAACGCAACTATAAGCAACTATAAAGCAGAAACGTGTCATGAGAAAACGCGTCCAATTGGCTGTCAAACATGATTTGTTTGGACTTGAAATTTGGATTTGAAATATTGACACTCACAGTCAACTGTCAACATTTCAAATTTAGAAACACATTCATATTGGGCGGGGATATATTAGCTTGCAAACACTAAATCCGTGATTAAATTCGTCTGAATTAAATTCAACGTATGAAACAGGCCTTATAATTTGTGTTTATAATGGACAAATTCAGTATTGCGGTTTGCAATGTTTGTACTAACTTTGTTACGTTTTCGCGGAAAAAATAATTGTAAACCGTCAAATGTTTCCAGCAAAATCATGTAAAGTTTGAAGTCCAAACATGTTATGTTTCATGTCCAATTAGCCTGCGTAGCCGGCAGTTTTAAGGGTTGGGGTTGAGGGGCGGGCAACGAAAATTACAACCTCGTACCCAGGGTATTTGCTCTTGGGAAGCGAAATACCCTGGTATGGGCTGGTCACGTGACCCGCGGATTTTGCGTAAAATGGCGTATTGTTTACTAGGGTTGGGGGAGTGAGTATATATTGTGACAATTAATTAGATCGCTCTATGAATATAAACGATAACCATTGAATCTTCAAAGAAATCGTGATTATTCGTGAAAAGAACTGCAATTAAAAATTAATATTTATCGTGATGTGACTTTCTACTCTACAATCTAGTGTCGAGTTACAATTCAAGCAAATTGGATCAGATTTCAACTTATAGACTTGTCACTGAGAAAGCACGCGTTAAACCCGTTCTCCACTAGGCGAATTTATTCGCGCGAACAGATAAAAAGTAGGAAGCGATCCTACTTTTTCGCCGCGAATTTTTTCGCCGACCAATCACGTTGCCGGATTTCGGTTTTCGCTTCGCGTCACGCGAACAAATTCGCCTAGTGGAGAACGGGCTTTAAATATATAGATTTAGTATATTAGGAAAATATTATGATTAATAAAGACCAAGAAAAAGGCTAAAGCCGGACTATAATCACCGAATACTATGTACTAAATCCAAAATTTTATAATCACTGACAGACTTTCTCTGTTTGGCTAGTATCAAATGTTTAATTTGCTAATATTGGGCTCTAGTCCCGGACAATACAATACTGTTTCTTTCAATCTTATAAACAAGACGCGTAGACATATAGTAACAAGTAATTAAATCGGTGCAAAGCATATAAACATTTACAAGAAAGGACCAATCTAATGGCGTATTTTAAAAACATTACATATGTAGAAATGATGACTGAAAAGCTCATAATAAACGTTTGTTATAAAACCGCGCTCGAGTGTGAAGAGACGGCATTGAATAACAACACGAGAGAGCACTGTGAGTAACGATTTGCTTGGTTTCTTGACTTGACTGTTGGTAAAAATGTAAGAATATTCTTGTAAATTCAAAGCAAAGAAAATAAACAACAATTAGCAAGTATTTTGAACTTAATAATGTTTTTAACTGTTACAGTAAACAAAATATCTCCACTGGAATAATGTAATTTGATACTTTCCTACACACCCTCGGGCGCTAAATTTTGGACGAGGCACGTGACCAGCCCATACCAGGGTATTTCCTAAATACCCTGGGAACGAGGTTGCGAAAATTAGGGAGGCGAGGCAAACCGCTGGCTACGCAAGCTGTGTCCAATTTATAGATCGCGTTTCCTCAATCTCGTTCCCCGAGCCTGCGATCCTCGGGAAGGAACGCGAGGCTCTGGGATAATCCTTTTCAGGAAGGAATCTGATTGGCCGTTGAAATGGAATGCGTAGTTCAATTTTAGCCAGGATTCCTGGCTTCCGGCAACGGATTATCCCAGAGCCTCGCGTTCCTTCCCGAGGATCGCAGGCTCGGGAACGAAATTGGCGTTTTCTCTGCCTCGTACCCAGGCGCTTTGGTTTGTACACGTGGGACGGCACGCATCCCACGCAAAGGCCACGCGAGCAATAGAACAACATACTGCCTGGGTACGAGGCAGGCGTTTTCTCATGACGCGTTTCCGCTCAGTAGCAATCGATGGTAGGTGAATGTAATTTAATCCTTTTAATTTATAAATGAATAATTTTGGAAACACCAGAATCATCGTTTGAAACTATAAAGGACACAAACTTTTTAAATTTTGTATCGGATACAAACGTTTTGTATCGGATACTGATTTATTAAATAGGTTAAAATAGCAAACGTATTAATAACAAATGTCCCGATATAAAATTGTGTATGAATTTTTATTTCAAAAATATCCTCTTTACGGCCTACGCTTCATTGTTTATTGAACGAGATGCCCAAAATTATGTTAATAAGTATATTAACTTACTACAAATTTCTTTGTAAATAACCATTTGTTATATTTGAAATTATCGTTTTCTAAATTTCGCCCCGGAGGTAGGGGCATTTGTGACAAAATTTTGCCCCAACCCACGGGCATTAATGTCCTTTTGTCAAGGCTGTTTTGACAAATCCCCGGGGTGGCCCGGGGGTCGACCCCCCGGGAAAGCCGCTGATACCTGCATTACTGTCTAGCACAACGCCGTTGTCAACGGTGCAAACTCGTGTTCAGTGCAACGATAACTCTACCAGATCTTACGAGAATCAATCTGTAGTATTCTGTACACAGAACTGTATCAAAGCTTGTCAAAAATGCTTTAAACACTGCTTAACTGTGAAACTATTGAAATCTAAAGTGACATTACATGCGAAAAGCTGAAAATAGACACAACGTGCCTGGGAAAAGTCAAAGGTCAATAAGATTTGTTATTGTGAACATGTCACAATTAGGTTAAAATGCGGAAGCGGATGGAGCGGATCCACGGAACGGATATGCGGATAAAATACGGAATGGATGAGGATAATGCGTCTTTTAATGATGTAACGACGTATAGTGCTTATTATTCATAACATATCTTATACAGCTATTTCAATTATAGTTTATTAGATAAATTTAGCATAGCAGTAGCCTCGTGGGGATGATTTAACCGACAGCTGCAAATGCAAATGAGAATTTAGAATATGCAAAATTTGGTTGTTGGTGAAATAATTTAAATTTTGAATTGTCGCATGTAGCATCACAATAAATAGATAAATTGCATCAGTTTCACAAGGCATGTAACTGTTTATTTCGTAGTGTAAGCCATCAGCTTTTCTGGGTTGTCGGCGACGCAAATTTCGAAACCGTCGACGGTCGAGCACATCATTGATGGTCGAACACATCATTAATCTCGTTCCCAGATTGCTTTTGAGGTGATTAGCGCGTGGAACCATTTGGTGACACCTTATACCAATCGATGCCAGTAAAGATTTTACGCAGTATGATAGTACAAGGTCCCCAAGGTGTTATCTGGCACGTGCACAGGGGGTCCAACTAACAGCTGTGTTATGAATAAAACATATTAATTAAACGTAATATGAATAAAACATCATAACGTAATATTGCACTTACTTGTATAAATCATAAGAGCTTGCATTTTAATACAGTGAATAGCTTCAAAAGCTTGCTTCGTTCCAAAGACTTCAAATATGGCGAATAAATTGACAAAACGATAATATTACATGACGTTCCAACGAAAATAACAGAAAGGATTGCGGGCGCGAGCGGAAAGGCGAGGAAAGAAATAAATAGAAGGGATGAAACAAATATCACGTGACTTTTTTAAATGCTTCTACACTATCCGTTTAAGCTTTTTGTGGTATTTTTAAGGCTCATTCGATGTTCTCTTATATGAACAATCATAGTCATTACCAAAAAAGCACTGATCAATCTAAGTTTGTGTGAGTTATAACAGCGAACATTCTTGGCCGTTTTCGCGATATGTGTTCCATAAGTAGCCTGTTCTCGTGACGTAATAATAATTCCGACTTCAATCTTCGGCTATTGCTCGGCGTGTGATTATAACTTCGTGAAAGATTCGGTGCATTTTATGGCGCGAAATCATACAGTATCGAAAGTCAGTTTTACAAGAGCGAACAGTAGAGAGGAATTTGAAAGGTTTTTGTTTAATATTGTATTAAAAATGTAAGTATCTGGTTTTTATCGCCGTATTGATAGTTGGAGAGTTTACTTAATACGGAACTATAACGTCTATAACCAATTTTATTTAGGGAAATACACGCTTTGAATGTAGAACAGGTCAATGTTATGAACCTTGCAATGAGTGGGCACAATGTGTTTATTGGTGGCAAACCTGGAACTGGAAAAACGTACACTGTTAAACGGGTGGTCACAGTTTGAAAAATACGCGTAATGTAAAAGTTTCGTGTACGACTGGAATGGCTTGTTCGCTTTACGAAGAAGCGATGACCATTCATTTTCTGGAATGAAGAATGCAAGATTGGGTGTTGAGTCGCTTGTCACAGGAATAATGAGTCAAGAGTCAGGATGTACGCAGAAAAGATGGGTAGAAACCGATGTGCTTATTATCGACGAAGTTTCACAATTAAGTGCAAAAAACTTTGAGATCATCAATATTTTGGCTCAAAGAGTTGGAGGCGTTCAAAAACTGTTTGGAGGGTTACAACTTATATGTGCTGGAGATTTTTTTCAGCTACCCCCAATTAAAAGTGATGTAGATGAGGGAAAATATTGTTTTGAGAGTCCATTATGGAAGCAAGTGTTTGGCCATTCTGTTATGCTGGAGAAAGTCTATCGGCAGGACCCGAAAGAGAAACAGTTTTTAAATCTTCTTGATGAATTTGCTATGGGGGAATGTTCTGATGAATCTTTGGCTTACCTGAGAAATGAACTATGTGACAAACAGTTGGACTCTAAAGACTTTGGTGTTGCTTTTATCCCTCGTATATTCTGTACCAATTTTGATGCGACCTTCTTTAATATGAATGAACTTGATAAACTGCCAGGGGAAAGGAAAGTTTACAAATCAGTAGATACGTGCAGTGAGGAAATTCTCAATAAAGTAACAATAGCAGAACGGGAACTTATCTTGAAAGTTGGGGCAAAAGTCATGTTGTTGTATAATGTTTCAACTAAACTTACTAATGGTTTAAGGGGAATAGTTGTTAAGTTGGAGGAAGATGGGCCAACAGTTAATTTCTCCACCGTTGGTATAACATGCAAACTTGGCAAAAGTTCTTGGTTTGCATATAAATCTAGTACCAGTAATTGTGTTGTTGGACAGAGAGAGCAGTTCCCATTAAAGTTGGCATGGGGAATTACAGCTCACAAAATCACAGGGACAAACCCTACCTGCTGCATACATTCACAGTGGTAAAGAATTTGTAGCTGGTCAGTTGTATGTAGCAGCATCAAGAGTATCTTCACAAAAAGGTGTATCAGTATTGGGTTTCAATCCTACCCGTCTAGTGAGAGCAGACAATAGAGTTATTGACTTCTACCAAACAATTTGTTGCACCCAGCCATCATCTGATCATCATTGTTGTTGGAATAAGGACATCAATTTTGAGCCCATTAGTGATGCCATGCAATATATAGAAGATCCAGATGAAGGATGTTTAACACAGGATGACTGGGCAGTTATTGAAAGCATTTGTGAATCATATTATGACCAGCAGGGAGACAATGATACTAATGAAAATATGGCAAATTTAGAAGAGGTCTTGAAAGAGTCTCTTTCAGGTGACAAAGAAATTTATCCACCAGAAACTCTTTGTGTCCATTCATTTTTGGAGAAACTGAAAGATCCCTCACCACAAGCATCTGTTGAAGGTTCCCTTGGGACAAAAATAAATCTCTTGATCACTAGTCTTCAACAACCAGAATATTCAAACAAAATGAAATCTTTTATTGATATCCAGTGGGTTCGAATAATGCTTGCAGCAAAGGAAAATATGAAGACAAAGAAGGATGGCACAGAAAGCTATAACTTTAAGGGTATTCTAACTGCTGAATTTGATATTCTGAATTCAACTAATCTAGAGAGTGAATTTTCAGCAGTTATTGGACACAATGAATTTTGTGTAGAACATCATGCCTTAATGACAGAACTAGTAAAGGCTATTAGAGAAGCTATTATTAGCAAACTTTACTTTGAAAAATGCTTGGATGAACACGAACAAGACCATACAAATGTTTGGGACATGAGCAATAAAGGAAAGGGTAAAGTCCGTTATATTGGTGGGTGGGCTGTTGTTAAGCTGATATATGGACACAAGAGATACATCACGAAAAATATGGCATCAACTAATCCATGTGTGAGGAAAGAAATGACTCGGAGATATATGTATATTAATATTCTTGAGTCCTTCGTAGCCCAGTCTTCTTGTATTCACTCATCAACAAAATATGAAGAAACTTTATCAGTCACTTTAATGAAACAGTACAGGCAAAATTCATTGGTTCATATTAGTGATGACGCTTTTGTATTTTTCATGAATTTAGAACAGCTAAGAATCAAAACTCTTTGCCACAATAAACTTAACATATTGAAACAAGATATGCTTCCAATGGCCATTGCTGGCGTAAAGGAGGACAAAAATCTGAAAGATCAGTGGTTAGGAATGTTGAGCGGTATAGAAGGTGTGGAAGGTCACAAGCTTGTTATTTTGGCTGATGTTATTGACAAGTTTTTTAACATGGGCACTGGACAGTACATTCGTGACTTTCGAAGAGATTATAATGTCAGCAAAACTGAAGCACACCGAAAGCGAGTCCAAGAGAAAAAAATAGTTAAAGAGAGAACTGCTGATAAAATAACATTGCAGTCCATCAAAGATGATAACAGTGCCCAGAGACAAGATAGTCACAACATGCTTGTTGCATTGGTTACAAAAAGGCCAGGTATTTTTGAAACAAGTACTTACACTAAACAGGAAATAAAAACAATATATGAAGCCTATGGTAAACGATTTTATGCAAGCTGGAACAAAGCCAAATTAAACGAAGCACTGGTGCAACATATAAAGTCAGCTGTATGCATGCAAAAGTCAGATGTTTTTGACAACTGTTAATTAACTAAACAACTTTAAAAACTATTATCCACATCAAATAAGGAACAATGGGTCAATTGTGTGATGCTTGGTACTTGCAATATCAATGATGTTAAATGTTTAGAGTTGAAAGACACTAGAAATGCAGAATAACCAACACAGGTAAGCGCAATGATACTATTCAATTTTTCCCAATTATTTACAATTACTGTACATATGTACATTGATTACCCAATGGTATGCCTTTCTAAATCTGACTCATCCGCAGTCATCTTAGTTAATTTTTTAGTAAAAGGTGGAGAAGTCACAATTCAACATTGCAAGGAAAATGCTCAAAGCGGATATGGCATGAAAATAAATCGTGTGCAGTCTGGTGTGCATGGATAAAGAGTGGATTCAAATTAACTTCTATGCCTTTTACTAAAAAATTTAAGACCACTGGGTACAAGTCAGTTTATAAATTGTGTATACATGCAAACTGCTATCAAACTTTTGTTATCTTGCTTCTATTTACTGGCAGTTTGTTTGGCTTGTAAAATGACAAACTATCAACTTTTCCAGTGTTACTTTTCTTTGTCGTAGATGTTTGTCCCATTAAAATACTGTTCATGGTTGGACCATACTGCGAGTATGTTGGGTTATTATTCTGTCCATTACGACCACGTTGTTGACAAAAAACGTTTTCAACAATATTGCTATTTAGCCGATGAGCATACACATTACAGCATGAATGGTGTTGAAATGAATATTTGCAAAACTCTGTAAATCCAATTACAGATGATGAAACGTCAAACATGGTTTTGTTGGATATGAAAAGCTTGTTCCTATCTGTAGCTCTCATCCCTTCAGTTGACTTTACTTCTTCTTCCCAGGTTTGAAACCACTTAAGTGACATCAAAATTTCATCAAAACGGTGGTCGGCCATGCTGGTATATGGTTGATGGCTGTTCAAATTCTCTATTAAGGTGCTTGTTGCTTGAAGGAAATGTATTGCCTTGTCTAAATCGTGTACTGGTCTGCCCATCTGTTTGCTCAGATTTTCTTGAAATACCTTTAAAAAGTAAGAATGACATGTTGTATTACATTTGTAACAAACAATTTTCTACTTTAGTAAGATATTCTTAGTCTAACTTTTGATATATACCTACATAGGCTATTTTGTTATCAATCATTGATACTTTGATTGCACCTGACTGCAGGAACAGGGGGACCAACTAAGAGCTAGCTGTGTCATGCTGGAAGTAATTTTCATATTTTATGTTTTTAGTCAGGATGTCATACCCATGAAACAGTTCTTAGACGTGGACGCACAGTGGACGCACAGTGGACGCAAGATACCCGCGTCTTGGACGCGGTTTTTGATAAGTTATTTCTTGGCAGTACTGTAGTTATCATTCTCCAATGTTTCACTTTTACCTTCATCAAGTTAAGCATGTCACGATTCAGAACTTGTTCTGCCAAATGATTTCTCATCTTAGTTGCATAGCCTAACTCGAAATGGTTGACCGTCAGCCGATGATGAACTGGAAGGGAGTTTGTCTTCTGATCCCACTCAAAAGCATCCACCCACTGCTTCCATGAGATTGGCTGCCCTTCTACAGTGAGGTTCCTTGTTCCTTTATGTGTGCTTTTTAAAACATTATTTCTTAACTTCTTTACATTATGCTGAGAAAAAAAAAGATACAATATTCCATGCATTAATGGTATAGGAACCAACAACATAATTATGTAGCGGTTGCATGGAGTGATATATGATTCTGAAGATTGTTAATTTGTGGCATTGGACATATTGTGTATTTCAGCAGAGTGCTAAGAGTATGATTTAATTTAACAGATCAATGTAAACAGATGTACTTACTGCAATATCCATGATGAAAAACAAAGGCTCCTTTGTGTATGGATTTATCACTGTGAATTTTTCTTTAACAGGATCTTTTCCATTAAAATGCATTTTAAAGAGACTCCTGTTTGCCTCACCGCCGTCAGCACAACAATATCGGATGTTTATTCCTCCTTTCAACAACCAGAATACTGCTTTCCAGAATAAGATGTATAGAGTGCTTGGATCAACCTCTTTGGTAGGCCAATGAGCAAATGGGAAACGGAATCCAGTGTTGCCGATAAAGACGAACTGTAACACATGAGAAGCCAAGTCAACCTTCTTAGCACCTGGTGAATAGAACAGATAAGTTATTCATAACATGCACGGATAATCATTTTATGAGTCATGTTGTTGCTCTTGTTGGATGCATTTAATGCAATAATATTGCTCCTCTACAGTTTCTGAGTGAAGTGCATTATATGCATGCGAACGTATTGCGCTGTTACATTATGCAACTTGTCTCGCAATTTTGTTGCGACACAAGTTGCGAGACAAAGTGCATATCAATCATCAAGTCTCGCAATATTTTTGCTGCATGAAGCGTTTCACGAAGTAGAAGTAGGTTATATTTTTCGCAATGATTGCGGCAACGCACTTCGAAGAAATTGCATAATGTAACATGCCTCTTGCAACTTGTTTCGCAATGGCTTTGTTGATCAGCCAATCAAAACTCGCTATCTGCCTACATCACTTATGATTGCGAGACAAGTTGCAAGACAAATTGCATATTGTAACATCGTAAAAAGGCAATTCTAAAAATAAAGCCATTGTCATTGAAAGAAGTTGCATGGTGTAACAGCGCCTTTAGACCTAATAAATCACTACTGCGAAGTTCTAGTATATCATCGGCAGCCATATTAAAAACGTTCTATACACAAATGATGGGATACATATAAATACAAACAAGTATTGCACCTGTATTTATACCATTCATCATATCGTTATCGTTGCCGAGGTCAACAAGGCCAACCAATGTTGAAACTCCATTAGCTGTTTTGAGTTGTAAATCTTCCTGTTAAAACATTCAAATTTTTCATTTGTTGTTAATTGTCTGTGTTACAGAATAGAAATAATGATCACGAATCGTCATCGATTTTTAAACTACCAGATTTCATTACTTTACACATAAGAATACTAGCCTGCGTCGCATACGTATTGTACTCGCGTTTATCGAACAGAATTATCGAACAGAATGTATACCTGAATCGCCATTTCATCTAATATAAGACCTCCTTCCCTCCCAAATGAATCCAAGTTTAATTTGTCTGCTTCATGTAGCAACCATTGCATCACATCATCATTTAATCCTGGTTTTTGACTCACAGAATTCTTGTACATGGAAAGCAGTCTACCAGATGGAAGTTTCAGCATTCCACTAGCTTTCAATTGGGAATAAGCCTCTGGACTCCGGCTCCAAATGGAAAGACAAAGGCGAATAATTCTATATGAAAAGGTCTCGTTTTCATACACAAACTCATAATAAGACTATACAAATATTAAAGACATTAAGATTCTACGACTCGCTACAATTCTAAAGTACTAAAACTGTCGGTACCAGTGTGGGTATAGTACCAATGTGAACTGATTGCTGTGCTGAGTGGTTATATTACTACCTGAAATAAACAAGCAGAAACTTGACGTAACTCGTTTCTGCTTGTTTATTTCAGGTAGTAATATAACCACTCAGCATACAATTCTGAAGCCAGTTCTCCAATAGGCGAATTTGTTCGCGCAAACAGTAAAAAAGTAGGAACTGATCCAACTTTTTTCGCTGACCAATCACATTGCCAAGATTTGTTTTTTCGCTTCGCGTAGTGGAGAACGGGCTTAAGACGCGTCGTGAATCCAAGACGTCAGGTCAGTTTACATGGTTGCATGCCTCTTCTCCGCAGAGGTTATTTATTCTGTTTATAATGTTCTTCGGTTCTCTTCGGATAGTTCTCGGAGTTAATCGCGATAGGGCGCTGGACAAAACTAACGTGGGCGAAGACAAAAAAAGAAAGCGAGCGAAAAAATAACTTATATTTTTTACTGTTATTTTTTCGCTCGCTTTCTTTTTCGTCTTCACCCGCGTTAGTTTTGTCCAGCGCCCTATCGCGATTAACTCCGAGAACTATCCGAAGAGAGCCGAAGAACATTATAAATAGAATAAATAACCTCTGCGGAGGAGAGAGGTTGCATGCATGCAGATCGCTGCATATATCAAAATGCACGTCGCATAATTATAAGGTCCTTATTAATATGTCTACAAGACTACTTACTTTTCACCAAATCTATAAGAGTAATTTTTACCATATGCATCGATATCTATGCGTCTGTTATGTACTGTTTAATAAATGAGCAGGAGTGTTTTATCACATATAAAACACGACGCGTAGCGGAGTGTTTTATATGTGATAAAACACGAACTACGAGTTTATTAAACAGCTTCAAAACGTCTCAGTTAGATCACGGAATTGGCGAAATAATTTTCCAAAATAACTTTGTATTAGCTGAGAAAATACAAGTTAAAATTTGAAGCGTGTTTTATCACATATAAAGACACGCTACGCTCACGATTTCTCTTTGTGTTTTTCTCATGAATTATTAATGAGTTTTTGAAAAATATTTTATACTTACTTAGGATGCCATCTATAACCCTTGGAGTTTGGGGTAGCTAGAACATCACGTTGAACTTCCCAAAATAGCTTAATTTCCGAGTTTAAGGAGCTCTCTTCAATCTTATCAAACAAAGTTTTGAAATCAGAATGATCATCCGAATGGAATACTTTCATTTCTTCCAAGACCTTTTCTTTTGCGTATTTTTCCCTCCTTTCCGCATTTATTCTCTGTTTCTTTTCTTCATGTAATTTGTCCAGAAGTTCCTCCTGTGTCATAAATGATTCTCTTTTTCGTTTATGGTCTACATTTACATCGCGAGGTTTCAAAGTCTTATAAAAACTATTAAATTTGACGTTGGCACAGCATTTGCAGATTACCGAATGCCCCGTAACACTTAGCACCATGCAACAATTCTTAGAAGAATGTCTGAGAGATGTTTGATCTGTAGACGTACTTTCCCATCGTTTTGCGGAACCTACAATGTTGCCGTGTCTGTCATGGGTGCTTTTTTCCACGTCTACTTCAAACCCTCGGCATAGTGGGACTGCTGCGCAAAATTCAAACAAATTGTCGAGGAATTCTTTAGTGGGAATAAAGGTTTCCACATTATGGCCGAAGGAACCGTTGCTGACTTTCTGCGACATCACATAAAACTCGTACGATGAATTTTTGTAAAGTCTAAGCTCTCTAATGAGTCGTTTACCATCACATGTGCAATCAGAGGGTATAATCATCCACTGGACGCAATCGCTTCCGCATTTATTTTGAACCCAGCACATAAGCGATGTTTCTGGTTTCGGAGGTGAGTACGATGTAATTATGTCGCTCCAAGCCAATTTTGTTTGAGATGCACATTCTACAAGGTTGCTGTACACCCATCGTTTTTTTGTTGACCCATCTATTTTCACGGTTTCCTGAGTCTTTTTTACGCTTTGAAAGATTCCTCTTACGATGCGACCAAGTTCATTCTCGTTCGGTAAGTTCTCTTTTTCAACCAGAACGCTACGCAAACTATCAGTAATATCTGGTAGGCTGGCAGCCTTTTCTAGACTATACGTGCTCAAAGACGACAAAGGAGTATGGACAGTATACGTTTGCCATAATCTATACATGTATTGAAAACAAATGAAAATATATGACTTTCAACATAAATATATAAGTTTCAAATGTCTTACGTATTTTATTTAAATTTAATTAATAAAGCTTTATATATGCAATCTATAAGTATTTATAAGAAAACTACCTGTGTGCGATTGAAAATCCACTTTTATTGGCGTTAGTAGAAACACTTTCAAACGGTATCCGTGTCGCCATACTCAACACAACAACAGTTGTAAATTTTACTTTGCTTTTGTAAAAAAACCGTTGGTCGCTACATTTAAATATTTCAAATTTTCGTTTTGTCAATTTATTCGCCATATTTGAACAATATGTTGTTTTATATGTTGTGAACCATCGTTCGAAGCAATGTTTGAAGCTATTCACTGTAAATGCAAGCTTTTATGATTTATACAAGTAAGTGCAATAATTTAAATATATTACGTTACTGTATGATGTTTTATTCATATTACGTTTAATTAATATGATGTTTTTAATTTTCATAACATAGTCCAGCTAACATTGTTTATTTTCATTAATTTCGCGCGTAGGCGTTGTTGGGGTTGGCCGGCGGCGTTTCCGGTGGATGATCGGAATTTTCCGAGAGAACAGGCTACTTATGGAACACATCAAACGATCGCATTGCCGGTGTTTCATCCCTTCTATTTATTTCTTTCCTCGCCTTTCCGCTCGCGCCCGCAATCCTTTCTGTTATTTTCGTTGGAACGTCATGTAATATTATCGTTTTGTCAATTTATTCGCCATATTTGAAGTCTTTGGAACGAAGCAAGTTTTTGAAGCTATTCACTGTATTAAAATGCAAGCTCTTATGATTTATACAAGTAAGTGCAATATTACGTTATGATGTTTTATTCATATTACGTTTAATTAATATGTTTTATTCATAACACAGCTGTTAGTTGGACCCCCTGTGGCACGTGCAAGACATTTAATAATCTCAGGGGAAAGCCGTATTAACCATAATATCATCAATCAATCAATCAATCTGTTTAATTAAAACCAATTTGCAGTTTTTAAAGGAAAACTGAATTACATGGAGTACTAATATAGCATAAAAATTTATATTAAAATGTACATATATATATATTATATAAAATAATGTTTATTTAGTTAGGACTGTTAATTAACTGTAAAGCTAATAATATTTCCTAGTCACGAAGTTTTTTAACCGTTCAGTGGTTTCTGACCATAAAGGTTGTTCGGCCGTTCTGTCATTCCTTAAGTCATAATCATGAGTTTTTACCCCGGGACGAATTTCCATAATTTGGGTCAAATCATCATGCATAGGTTTATATACGCTGTATTCTTTTTTCAACAAATAATCTAAAATATCGTTTTTGCCCGTATAAGTAATTAATATGAGGGGTGTGTTTTAAGCTTTCCTTATTAACATGATCAGCGCAATCGCAAATTCAAACCTACGCGGCTACACATGCTTTAAAAATATTTTATCTTTGTGAAAAAGCGTCGTGTTTTCTCATGTATTGAAAAATACAGCGCATACCGAAACAAGGAAAATTGCCTTGTTCCTATTCCTCGGCACTTTTAAATGCCTTGCCATGTCCTCAATCCTCATTGCATTTGCATGCCGACATTATAATTAATACGGTTTTCCCCTGAGATTATTAAATGTCTTGCACGTGCCAGATAACACGGAATATTGTTTAGGTGTAATATTTCACATCTCTTGAAAGTTGATTTCTCACCTCGGTAACGAATGCTAGTGTTTTCATGAGTTGCTCATGGTGGATATGCATCCTAAAGTTTCAAATGCTGTAAAATATGATAGTATGAATATTTCTCTAGAAGGGTCATCTTTTAGAAATTCGTGGCAGGGCGAAATTGGCAAGAAATTTGCGAAGCAATTTAGACGATGCTAGACGCATTTGACATGCTATGGCCTTTCGACGACTTGAGCCGCATAATAACACCGTTTTTAGCGATCTCCTTTCCGTTGTGTGTTTCGGATATTAAACATGTTTATATCGTTAGTTCTTCAGAAAAGCGCAACAAATGATATTATGTCATCAACATATCAATTTCTTACTCCTCGAAAGCGTAAATTTACGGATACCAAAGTTGTTGTATTCACGGAAGAATAAAATTAACACAGCCGGGCCGTGCGCGAAATTAGACAGTTCAACTTTGCGCGAGTTATTTATCGCGGTCTCGCGACGTGGAAATAAGTTGAGCGCATGAAATTACTTTTGAATACATTCTCCAGAATGGTCATCGATCAAATTTTTAAGTTTTTCATTATAAAGGTAACAAAATAAGGTTTTAAATAAGCTTTGTGATCTATCCGACCGCTGGCCATTCCCGTTGTCAGAAAAAACAGTGATCTTTCAGAAGCTACCATGGACGAACAGAACGGAATAATGTTTTCATTTTCCATCACGTACTAAGGAATATGACAAGAAAAAATGGTCTTTCAAAAGAATTGAATATCCATCGGTAGTTAAGCGTCCAAAGCAGTTTGTTTACAAACTAGTCGTTCCAGCTCCAGATTGAAATTGTATCTGGAGCTGGCTCCAGATTCGCCAATCTGGAGCTGCCAATCTGGAGCTGTCTGGCTCGTCATGGAGGATCACAGTTTAAAAACGAAACATTTTCGCCAGTACAGTACTTCAATGAAATTAATAACGCTTGTCGAGAAGATGTTATATTACTTATGGGTTTCAACGTTAGTGTAATAAAACTAGTTTTTATAGCATCCACTGTGAATTTATTGTTTAATTCAAACTCATCTCATCCAATTTTAACACTAACCCAAATAGACACCACATCAATGAGAAAAGCACGGCATTTATTCGATGGAGGCGTTTATTCGATGGAGGCGTTCATTCGATGGAGGCGTTTATTCGAGGGAGGCGTTTATTTAAGTAAAATTGGAAAGTGTCCCGGTTTTGAGGACTCGGAGGTTGGAATGTCTGAAGATAGTTACTGCAACACTTGTGCGAAGAGCAGTAACCAGTAAACCGAATTGGCTGCTTTGCTTTTCGACTGCTACCCGCTATCTTTTCAAAAAATCTGAAACCTTATACTGCGTGAAATCTCCAGTCACTGACATCGTCTTGGTACAAGATGTCACCGAATGGTTTGTACGCGCTAATTACCGCTGGCGCGATTTGGGAACGAGATTAATGATGTGTTCGACCATCAATGATGTGCTCGACCGTCGACGGTTTCGAAATTTGCGTCGGCGACCCTATATAGTTCTTGCAGTGTCTTTTTAAATTTGAAACTTCACACTATCCTTGGATCTCTAGTTTTGTTAATGACTGGGCTTGTTCATGTAAGAGAACATCGACTGAACCTTAAAAAACCCACAAAAAGCTTAATAAACGGATAGTCTAGAAGCATTTTAAAAAGTGACGTGATATTTGTTTCTTCCCTTTTATTTATTTCTTCCCTCCAGAGCTGCCACTCTCAATAGCCTATTTTCACCTAAGGCTAGTACTAAAATCCCCTACTTTTCCCTAGCTACAAGTCAATGTGTAATTTTCCCCTACATTCCCCTACGTTCCCCTACAAATATCGCATTTCCCCTGTAATCCTGAATTATCATCTACGATACAGATGTTTCCGGTTTTTAATATAACGATAATATATTCTATTTATTAAATTGCGCAAACCTTAACAAAACAAAACCACAAACTATTACTCAAAAATTCACTCAAATTCACTCAAAAATTCAAGAAATAGCGAAACATTCTTCTGCACTAATGCACTTGGATGAATATTTAAGTTGTTGGGAAAAAATCCTTAGATTTCCTTAGATTTTTTCTCTTCCTTAGATTTTCCTTTTCGACACTAGAATTTCCTTAGAAAAGGAAATTTCCTTGAAAATGGAAGCATTGTCGTGGAGACCGGAGACGTGGAGTTATTATATCACATATTCCAGTGCTTCCACATTCAATTCAAATCTAAATTTCTAGTTGTTTCCATGAAAAATCCTGATTATCCTGCAGTTCAATAGTGCTAGTTCCATTTTGTAATTCATAATACCATAAACAGACACACAATTTTTTTTTCAATTCAAACCGTGAAGAAATCCCCTACGCTCCCCTACAGATTACCCTTTCTCCCCGTAGGTATTCCCCACTCCCTACAAGATGTCATAATCCCCCACTGTAGGGGAATCCCCCTACGAGTGGCAGCCTTGCAGTTCCCTCGCCTTTTCGCTCGCGCGCCCGCAATCTCTGCTGTTATTTTCGATAGAACGTCATGTAATATTTTCGTTTTGTCAATTTATTCGCCATATTTGAACCAGTGTGACCAGACGTGGTAATTTCATTACTACCGTGGTAATTTTTCGTCATTTTTGGGCAATTGTGGTAATTGGAAATTTGTGGTAATTACTACGGTAATTTCAGAACAACCGTGGTAATTTTTCGTCAAATTTCGGCCGATTGTGGTAATTTGAAATTTCCTGACCTTAAATGTACAGATTTTGGTGAAAAACCCCTAAATGTTACAAATTTTGTGAAAAAAAACTGGTTTTGGCCTTGTTTTAGGCGAAATAAACCGGTTTTGGCCTTGTTTTAATTATAATTTTTCCTGAAAAATTTTTTTCACCCTAATTTACGAGGAACTTGTCCGGAAAAATTTATGTCCGGAAAAATTTTTTTCGACCTCCCCCCCCCGCTCGCCAACATTTTTGGGGAATTTTTCGAAAAAATATGGTAAAATTGGGAAAATATAGCACCGTGGTAATTTCAGACCGAAAATAGTAATTTTTGAAACCGGATGTGGTAATTTGGCCTGAAAAAACCTGGTCACACTGATTTGAACAATCTTTCGAAGCAATGTTTCTGAAGATATATAAGCGCCCTGTTTGAAGCTATTCATTGGAAATACAAGCTCTTACGATTTATACAAGTAAGTGCAATAATTTAAGTATATTACGTTGTGATGTTTTATTCATACTTATAACACAGCTCTTTAGTTGGACCCCCTGTGTACATATACTTAGTAATTATGTAAATTAGTATAGGTATATCATGCGATGGCGAGTACAATTAGGGATTAATAGTAAGTAATAGTGCTCGTGATGTTTAGAAATTTTGCCACATTTTTCCAAACGTCACGAGTACTATTAAGCTAATTGTATGACTGAGAAACATCGCATGATTACTAGTTGTTTATTATTAGCATGACAACATTGGATAATTCTCAATGTCAACATCATATTCTCTCGCCAAAGTCCAGTCCTGCCAGACTTTCAACCAAAATCTGGTGCTTTTGTTCGTATCAGTGTTCATTTAGTTATTTTGCTTTAAGTTCCTCTCAGGCAATTTCATTTGTGTTTAAATAACTTTCCGCCATTTTGTTTGTTTTCGGGAAAATCATTAATCGCACTGCAGTATAATTAATGAAATAATTGAACTCCTCTCAACCAATCAGCATCCATGTCATGCTAAAAAATAATAAGATAAACACAATCATGCAAGGTTTACCAATTAAATATGTAATTCAAAAAAGTTAGACGTGTAATATACAAATTAATATAAAAATACAATCTCGTTCCCAGAGACTGAGTATGCCTGTTCGCGGGTTATGTAGTGCCACTACATAACCCGAGAACAGGCATACTCTGGGAACGAGTTGATAAAAATAGTGCAAATATATATATATATATTAGTGTTGGGTCATCCCCTTCAGAAATGTTTGTTTTTCCACCCCTAGTACTGCATTTCGTGCGTTTTCTGAAACAGATTTTTGGATATACAGCGTTACATTACACTGTCGATAGCCCGAATCTTCAGTTGAGTACTTGCATGGTATGCAACTACTCCAAACTACTCCATGCCTAGCCTTCCAACAACTCAAATGTATAGGATCAGGGATATGCTATCGGGCCAGCTATCCACTGGGAAATTTTTAAAATCTAAGGTGTATGCAGCACAATGTTTAGCATTTTCAAAAAAAACATTGAATCATTTGAAGAAAAAGACACCACATAAGATTCAAGTGCCCGAGAATATAGTCATGCTATGCAAATTTTAAACCTTTCTTTAGAAATTGATTGTTTTCACGGTCTGTGAACACGGATATATTTGGCATAGCATAACCAAATTGTAGGGTTGGCTTCGCCACTGTAAGATTTACAAAGCAAATTTAATAAGTTACTAGAATATCAAACCTCCCTTCTAACTTCCATTTTTCTTCCAATGTTTTGCTTATGTTTTAGAGAAAGGAACTTTGACGGGGGAGAGCAAAATAGTTGAGTGGGGGGAGGGGAGGGGCAAAATGGTTGAGTGGGGGAGACAGGCTTGGGGCTTTTACCCCCAGTTATTTAAAAGGGCCTGGTTGGCATTGACGGCTTCTCAAAAATGATTGTATATATTTGTATACTTAAGATGCCGTTCCAATAACCGTGCCTCAACAGCGCTTAAAATTATTATGGTTTACCATCTATAGTGAGGTCGGATAAAGGAGGAGAAAATGTTGATGTAGCACAGACTTACATGGAACGTAAACTACGTCAGTTTAAGCGGATGTTCGCAGCAGTTTGGTAGGGTAGTTTTGTATAAATACCAACTTCTGCGGAACACAATAACTAGTAGTTTTTTACAAAACAAAGAAACAACACTGTCATACCGTCGAGGCGGAACAACAATAGACACAATACGGAATTCAATACGGAATTCGCATAATAGCACACGTATTCGCAGAACAGCATCCGGATTAGCAGAACAGCACACGTAATTCACAGAACGTAACAGCACACGTAGTTCACAGAACAGCATACGTACTAGCAGAACAGCATGCGGAATTAACATAACAGCATACGTATTAGCAGAACAGCTCACGTAATTACAGCATACGGGATTAGCAGAACAGCATCTCGAGTAGCATAATAGAATACGGAATTAGCAGAACAGGGTCGACAAAAAATAAATTCGAGAATGCATTGTGACCCTAACCACCCCTGAGACTTATTTACCGGCTTGTTATCCTGCCGGGCATCCAGAAACATACGCTGGGCTGATTGCACTTGACAGCAGGCTCAGGTTTGACACCTAGTCAAATATTTAGTCGAATAAATATAACATATAACATGTTAATTAACATATAACATGTTAATTTAACACCTAGTCAAATAAATATAACATATAACATGTTAATATAACATATAACATGTTAATTTAACACCTAGTCAAATATTTAGTTGAATAAATATAACTATAACATGTTAATTTGCGCAATATTAATATTAAATATTATTATTATTATTACATCGATACGCGTACGCATTTCGCCCTGACAGTCTTTGAAACTGACGCCCATATTCTAAAAGCTCACTCACACTCAATGAGTGGAAGTTTAATCTGAGCTGCTCGCGAGTGTCATTGTTGTTTTCGAATAGCTGGAGGATTAGTGTCGTACCTTACCATGTGACTACTTAACCTCCAGCTAGTCGAAAACAGCATTGAATTGACACTCAAGAGAAGCTCAGATTGAACCTCCACTCATTGAGTGTGAGTGCGAGTGCGAGTGTGCTTTTAGAATACAGCTATGACAGTCTTTGAAAATAGTTTTCGTGAAGGAAACAGAAACGTCACACAAAATTGACAAACCCTTTAAAATCATTAAGACAGCAAATGAGTGAATTTTAATTAGCCTGTTTGTTCTGAGATTGGAAATTTTCCACTACAACGACAAATTACAATTTTTTTAAATTCTTACCTCGAAAATGGAAGTTGCGAAATTTGGATGCATTTCTAATTCCCATATACTTGATGAGATCCCCCCAGTATCTTCCAAGACCTGTGAGTATAAACACGATAGTTCCATTAGGAATCACACCATTTGCTTCTCCCAGTTTTTGATGTCATCAACAGATACTTCATAGTCGGGATTTTTTCAAATGCTTGTTCTGTAATGTTGATCACAATTGCTTGATCAATCAAGTCTTCAGGCAATATCTCATCAACGGTTGGTTTTCCTTCAGAAAAGTGTACTGGTGCATCAATATGTGTCCCAGAATGCTCGCTTAGTTTTAGTTTATAGGCTATAGCTATCACATACGAAGCTCTGGCTAAAGCTCCTAAATAGGTAAGCGTATGTTCAAATCCAACTGTATCAGTCTCATTCATGTTTTCATGATAAGTATATGACTCATATCAATCCATTTACTCTGGGTTAACAGAAATACATTCTCCATTAACATGCATACAACTATATAACCCTGCTTAATGCAATTTTGGAACATCAAGTGCTGCTTAATGCCAGTACTCGAAGTTAATGCAAATGAATACTTATTCAGTAGTTAATCTGTCTATTTTGTAACTTGCCAATTATTTGAGCACTCAAATTTTACATAGCCATAAGAATTCAAGCAAATTCATAGGTCGAGATATGTTCAATACTGTAATATTGTGTGGGCAAACTGCTATCACACGAATCTCGAAAGGTCTTTAATTAAACTACATATAACGCGTAATTAATTATGACTAATATAATGCATAAATTAGTATATTTGCAAAATAATTATTTTTCCCATGAATTGCACCTAATTACACCTATTTAGCCCATATTATCAGTTATAGTTGCATGCGCAGAAGTGAAAAAAGTGGCAAATGAATGCGGTTTATTTAAAATGGCGCGGGCAATTTGCGGCAAGAGCACTAAAAGAGAAGGACAAGCAGTATATCTGAGTCGGGTCTAGGGGTCCAGAACAGGTGGTACTAAAAAATTGTGATGGAACTGTGGTGGGTACTGGAACTGGAAAATCGGGAAGGGGGGGGGGATGAAACATCGAATGATGGAACGGAGGAAAATAGTTCGGATTGGGGGGAAAAGGAAATTGGTTGCCATGGAGATTTGGTATTTTGGAGGGGGGAAGCCTTTTAGTAGGATCTTGCTGAAATCAGGTATATTTTTCAAGCTTGCCCGGTGTGGATATACACTCAGAGTAACATCACAAGCATGAAACAGATCAATTATTTAGGCTAGAAGACCAGATATTGTAGCAGTGGATAAAATATGAGGTATAGAAGACTTGTAGGAAAGGAACAGAAAAAACTGAGCAGTATCAGGATCTTGCAAGAGAAATTCGAACATTACCACGCGTATTCTAAAAGCTCACTCACACTCAATGAGTGGAGGTTCAATCTGAGCTTCTCTTGAGTGTCAATGCATGCTCATTTTGAATAGCTGGGGGGTGCATGAGTAGTCACAGAGTAAGGTATGGCACTAACCCTCCAGCTATTCAAAAACAGCAATGACACTCGAGAGAAGCTCAGATTGAACTTCCACTCATTGACTGTGAGTGTGCTTTTAGAATGCGGGCGCTCGTAACTCGTAAGGCCTGATTCCACGACGGCGAAACTCCAGTCGCGCGAAATCGTGTCTGCGAAATATGGATGGCTGCACACGTCGAGTAATTCTATTGAATTTCGTATTCACAGTGAGCAGAATTGACTTCTACTTACTGCGCATGCACGAATTCATTTCGCGCGAAATTTTTCGCATTTCGCCGAAAAAGCGATCGTGGATCAGGCCTTTATGGAGAGTGAAAACTAGAGTTATACCACTAGTCATATAGGAGCTTTGCGTACGGTCCCAAAAGAGATTCGAAGGATTTTTGAATTAGATAGGCGTCAGCTCCAGGGTAGATTTAATGTAAAGATCAGTTTTGCTTGGTACAGCCAGGAATCTTAGAAAGATCTTGGAATCCTAAGGAGACTCTCGGTTGTCCGACTGCATTAGACAGTCGAGTTTTACAGCAGTTTCACGTGGTACACGACCACCTCACGGAAAAAGGTTGAAAGCAATTGTTGTTTTTCACATCTAGGTGCGGTCACTGATTCAATATCAGAAACGTCAACTGCAATCGTCAAAGTCAACACGTTTCAGCTGTTCATAGAATAATAAGTCGTTCAAATATTTAATAATTATTGCATGAGGTTGCCTTGAGGTTCGCTTATCTTTTTCTCTTCAACGTACTCGTTTAAAAGTCCTAATGCTCATGGACGTTGCGAAGTCATTAACATTGGGGGTAGTAGTATTTTAACCAAGTTTTGGCGAGAGAGAAGGTGGGGAAGATTAGAAAAACAATTTCTACAACATTATATTTTTATTCTCTTTCTGTTTAATGGGCGGTTATTCACCCTTATTTGGTTAACTCTCCCTTATCTTTAACTTAATTCCTACCGAAGCAATTCTTTTCTGATTTCGTTTAAAATTGACCAACTATTTTCACCAAATATTTCCCATATTGACCAACTTATCGTCCCTGTTAATGCTGTTTTAGTTTGTAGCTTGTTTAGTGTTTTCTGCTTCTTTTTAGTTTTTGTACATCGCTTTCAGTTACCCAGGCAAATCTCGCCATGGCTTTATAAATCATGCCATGTAAAGAAGCTTGCTTTTGCTGGTGTTGTGATTACTCTCTGTAGGGTTGACGTCATATTTACTTGTAGAAACCTATTATCTGCGGATGTGATGTCATAATTACGCAATATCAAGAATTATTTGTATGCCAGCAGTCAATCAAAACGGAGGGCGGGGCGGAGGCTGGCCGGGGGCGGGCGGGACTCACTCACTCATTCATATTAATACCAAATGAACAAACTTTATTGCGATTACAACCCTCAATAATTAAAGAATTGACAAATAATAATTATAAGTTAGTTGAGTTTACTTATACTAAAAGCGCTGCAGTATTTTTCCATTGCAAGTAAATGGCTATTTTTCATTGTTGCAAATTCGTATAGTACACATACGTTCATAAGAATGTGTATATTTCCCATTATATATATGAATGAATGAATGAATAAGCAAAAACTATTCAGGAAGTAACTATGAAGTTCGTGTAAAACCTAGATAACATGTACCATTGCCATAGCAACAAGCACGATAGCGAATATACCAGATCCAGTTGCACAATGTATTCCTACTCCATTTGTCATCTGCTTCATTGTAGCCACGATCCTAACAGGTGCACCACTACCACGTTCAATCTTCATTGGCAAAGCATAAACAATGTATCCAGTTGCTGGCAGTTGGTCTAAGTTAGCGACATTTTCAAGAGCATAGATATTTTTTGCAAACAGAATCTGATGGGTTGGATATGTCTTGGATTTTCCATAATCTAAAGACGGAGTGTCAATACCAACAGCTTTAATTTTACGTTTGTTGATGAGCCATGTTGAAGCATTCTCGTGAATACCTGGGAAAGTCAACATTTTTTAAAATTAACATATACATGGAAACTCTCAGGAACTTCAGCGTTAAACTAGGGTTTTAGATTCCCTACACTTTGAATATTCCTTCTTGAGTTTTTCTAAATTGGTAAGAACGATCAAACATACGATGTACTACAGTCTATAGTACACTTATAAGTTATATGCAGTTATATTAATTAACAGACTTGATTGGTATAATGATAAAAATATACTGACAGTGACAGACTCCTAGTTCCAAATATTCTATTTGACCATTTCCACTTTTTTTGTGTTTATAAATATGCTGAGTATAATAACACTTCCAGATGGTCAAATGGAATATTTGGAACTAGGAGTCTGTCACTGTCAGTATATTTTTATTATTATACCAATCAAGTCTGTTAATTAAGGTGAAACGATAATTTATTTAAAATCACTATATAATTTTGGTTAGAAACCCCCCACAATACTCTTTGGGGAGGGTCGTTGGGGTTTCGATGCCACAGGGTTTTGGTTTATGAATTTATATGAAACACAACGAGTGCTCAATATACCAGATCTAGATCATTATATTCTCTTTTGTTACATCTGAAAGGGCCCCCTTTTGCTGTGGGCACCTGGTCAACAACCAGGCTATAAATGCATTCAGAAATATGTCAAATTGATCATATAATTAAATCAATAAAATTGTCATGATATGTGAATAAAATCAAGCAATTCATAAATTATTAAATTTTGATTACTATTTACTGGTTTAAATAACTATAATTTTTAAACCGTAAAAAATTCTAAGAATATTGTAGGGGGTTTCTAACCAAAATTATATAGAGAATTTAGATTGATTCCAAATATTCCAACTGTTCACTTTTTTTGTGTTTATAAATATGCTGAGTATAACGCCTCCAGACGTGATTTACTTAAGTTAAGTTTATTGATGTCTGTTGGTTTAAGTTTAAAGCTCGCAGAGTTTCCACAGAATGAGACGATATTTGACAGAATAATTGCAGAATTTTTAGTCAAAATAGCCGCCATCTTAAATATAAGTACCGGACAATTGATCTCGGAACTTGTTACCCGCGCCTCGGAATTTTTAACTCGCGCCTCGGAACTTGTTACCCGCGCCATTTTCGTTGGACCCGCGCCATTTTCGCTGGACCCGCGCCATTTCTATTGACTCGCGAAATACCCCGAGGTTTTCATAATATCCAGACAGATTATCAATAATCCAGGTAACTGCTATGTATGTATGTATGTAAAAATTTATTTAAAGACGCTAGCCTTGTCAACAAAGAGAGTTCATTTCCACAAGGGGCGTCGACATTTGAAAATTTACAAAAACTATTTACAAAAAAGACAAATATAAGTACAAATACATGCAATATATATAGTAATTAATTAGAATGGTTTAAAAGGAAGTTGGTGGTTTGGTGTGATTTGGCCATATAAATATGTCTGTAATAATCCATTTAGATTAATATTAGGTTAGTTACTTTGCCTTACAATATTTTTAAAAGAACATATTGATAGGGCTTCCTTAGCTTCACCAGGAAAATCATTCCATAGTTTAGCACCACTATATCGAAAACTCTTTTTCAGAAAGTCGCGTCTTGGCTTAGGAACGGCCAGATCATTCTGAGCATTTCTGAGATTGTAAGTCGTTTGCGAAATATTCCTTTTTATCAAAAACTCTTTCAAGTTCGGCGAACTATGGTCGTTTAGAATTTTATAAACAAGAGTTGCCTTAGTTAATTTTCTTCTAGATTCTAAATTGTCCCATTCAAGAGATTGAAGAACGTCAGCAGACCTGATCTCATAACCAGCACCAGCTATTATCTTAGCTGCTCGATTTTGAAACTTCTGCAATTTGCCTTTTAATGTTTTGTTACAAGTGTCCCAAAGGGGAGAACAATAATCGAAGTAGGGTTGTATCAAAGCGCTATAGATTGATTGCAGCATGTTTGCAGGAACGAATGGCTTGGTGCGCCTTAACGTTCCAATACCTGCTGCAACCTTTCTGCAAATTACGTCAATATGCTCATCCCAACTCAACGTTTCATCAAGGGTGGCGCCCAAACAAGGTATTGAGGTTACCCTAGGAATTGGTTGACCATTTAACATTACAGGAATGTCATTATTTATCTTATGGAGATTATGTTTAGATCCTACGTACATTAATTTAGTTTTGGATGAATGGTGTTGCAATTTGTTTTGTTTGAGCCATTGACTTATGTTATTCAAGTCACTGTTCAAATTGAAAACGAGGTGCTGATAGTCATTAGCAGATGAAAAAATCTGTGTATCATCAGCATATAAGCACGGGATTGTATTCTTGAGATTATTTGGGAGATCATTAATTTAATATAAAGCAGGAATAGAAGTGGGCCTAAAATAGACCCTTGAGGGACTCCACAAACGAGATTTCTAGGTGTTGACATCGTGCCATTGACAAAACACACTTGTTCCCTATTAGAAATGTAGGATTCAAACCATTTTAATTCGATATTTAAAACTCCAAATTGTTCTTTCATTTTACGCAATAAAATATTATGGTTAATTGAGTCAAACGCTTTCCGAATATCAAGAAAAACAACACCGTTCAAGTCTCCATTATCCATGTTAGTGTACCATGCATCGCACATTTGAATAAGTGCAGACAAAGTTGAGTTCTTTGGACGAAAGCCGGATTGATACTTAGAAAGCAGGGAGTTTTCATTTAGATATTTGTATAATTGGTTGAAGACTAAACGTTCAAAGATTTTACTTATAATTGGTAGAATGGAAATTGGACGATAATTTTCGCATTTTTGTCTGTCTTCAGATTTATATATCGGTAAACCCAAGCCTTTTTCCATTCTTCCACATAAATTCCAGTTTTAATTGATAAATTAAATATCCACGTTAGTGACGGACTAATTATTTCAGCAGCAATTTTAAGTGCTCTCGCTGGAATTGTATCAATACCTGTTGATTTTGATGTTTTAAGATTGCGTAATTGAAGACACACTTCGTGTGTACTTATTTCAGAGAACTTAAACTGAATATCTGGCCTAGAAGGAACACTTTGTAATGAAGTGAAATCAATGGAATTGATCTCGATTTCGTTAGCTAGTTTAGCTCCGATATTCACAAAAAAATCATTAAAGGACTCGGCTATCTTTATGTCGTCAGAAATAATAACGTCTTCAACTTTAAGTTGAGAAATATTATTTGATTTATTATTTTTGCCTAAAAGATTGTTTATTAATTTCCAACTTTGCTTAGGGTCCTTTACCCTGACACAATCTTTGATTTTATTGCAAAAGTAGTTCTTTTTAGCCTTCTTTAATTCAGAATTGATTTTATTCCTAATTGCTCTAAACTTGATCCAGTGCATGTTCGAATTATTTTTTACGGCCTTCTTTTTGTGAAAATCTCTCTCTCGCATTAACTCCTTTACTTTCGAGGTAATCCATGGGAGAGAATTGCCGCGAATTCTCATACGCCTCAGCGGCGCATGCAGATCCAATACTTGCAAAAAATGTGACCGCCATAATTGATATGAAATATTGGGATCGTCGTAAAATGTCACATTGTCCCACGGAATTTGTGAGAGATCATTGAGAAAGTCAGTTTCACTAAATTTTTTGAAGTTACGAGCATACTTAACATTTTGTCGAGACGTGATCTTAAAATGTTTTCTGACCACAAAAAATAAACTGTGATCAGATAAACCTAGATGAAGTACTCCGGATTTTACAATATTTTGTTTCTTATTCGTGATTGCCAGATCGATCAAAGTTGCTGACGTTCTAGTTACCCTAGTGGGTGTATCAATTATCTGATCAAATTGATAAAGTGACAATAGGAATTTTAACCTACGCGTGTGCGCATCGGAAGGAGATTTATTTACATCACAGTTTAAATCTCCAACAAGTATTAATTCTTTATTCTCAAAATCACAGTTTCTGAGGAAGCTTCAAAGTCATCAAACACCTGAAGATTTGTATTAGGAGGTCTATACCATGTA